GGATCGGGAAAAATCGGTATCGGCAAATTGTCAAAATCAAATAATCGGAATCGGATCGGGAGCAAAAAAAGGTGATCGGGACATCCCTATTTAAAACGTAGTCATCCTCACCTGTGTCTTTAAAAGGCATGCAAAAAAACCGCTCAATCAAATGTGTTGAATACTCAAAAGAATGGGAAATGATTTGGATTAATACAAATGGTTATTTAATAGCCTAAGAAAAAAGAGGCTATTTTATGAGCCCAGGTGCACCGTCTGGTACAAACGTTTTCCCTCATGCGACCCCCTGCTTCTAAGATTGATAATGCCCACATACATCCTGCTGAGCAAACCCAACCAAGAGTGCTTTTATGAACAGCTGGGTGAAGTTGAACACCTTTTATGCCGTGCTCTTTACAGTATGTTCTGTAGCCGGGAGTGTGCACTTCAAGAAGCTTCATCCCTTATTGCACCGGAGTGGATATTTCAGACGTCGTGGCGGCCTCTTTGTGTTCAAGGCTTTCAGCTTTCAGAGGTCACACACCTTGCCACGATGTCACATTATCCAGAGAGATTGAATAGAATTGCACCTAATTGCAAATCGTTTTGTCTTTTAAGGATGCCTATTAAATGTTGCTACTGACTAAGCCCAGTCAAGGCCGAACATCTTGTTCACATCTGGCTTTTTAAAAAGAGCCGCGGCCGAAACACCACGGCCATGAAAACGAAACACATTCATGACTCGTGAAGAAGTTAATTCGAACAACAGAGGCCAAGGAAAGCCATGTAATTTAAAAGAAAACCTGCAAGGATGGTAAACCATTCATAAGGGCAATGGTTTCCAAAGTATAGTAAAAAGAGGGCATTCAAATATGTACAGATAGCGTCCATAGCGTCGATTTGGGATATCGTATCAAGTGTTTTTGTTTTTTTTACACCACACACCTGTTAGAAATATGACTGCCTTTATCCACTTGGTCATTCCAGTATATCTACTTTACTGATGATTATTTATCTAAATTCTCACTGTGTAAATGTTTCTTAAAAAGCACCAATGGTCAACCCAACAATATCATTTGATTCTTTATATCACGTGAAAAGGACAATTACTATTTGGTTAGAGTTGAATTAATACAGCTCCAACCCATTGCCTTAGAAAAGACTCTTGAGAGCGTGTTCAACTACAGATTATATTTTACATGAAAATTATAAAAAAGTATATCTTGCAGAACTGTTAATGTCCTACAACTCTTACGATAGATTTTTAGTGAATATATTTTCAAAGCTTTGTATAATGTAAAGTATAATGTGATTATAATCTTCATATTTCCTTGTTTATTATGCAGCCAAACTCGAAATGGGTAACAAATGAAATACCACCACAAACATGATGGTGAATACTTTAATCAGCCTTTTGCGGGCTGCTATAATAACTCATAAATTGAAGGTTACATACGACTAAAATAAACATGTGTTTTACTGCATTACTCTAATTGTTACCCTCAGCTAAGGTGCAACCCACATGTGGGATTTTCTTTGATATGTTCAAAAGTTTGCTGCAGTCTTTACATGTCTTCAGAGAGACGTCCTATACTTAGTTTGAAGGCTATAAACACCCCTCAGGTGTTTTCACTTTGTCTAATGCTTTGTGGGCGTGAACAGAACCGCCCTGATTGGCATGTGTCTCACTTCTGTGTTACACCAACTTCTTCATTCAGATTTAAATCATTTTGAGACCGAAACAGAAGAATAGCAGTTTCTACATGAGTGAGTCCTAGAACCCGGAAATCCTGTCTTGATGTCAATGATGTTTTGAAAGTGTTTGTGGTTGGACGCCTGATGGGCTATAAAGTCTGTGATCAACACAAGATCACTAGATTTTATATACTTAAAAATACTTTAGGAAACGCTCCATTTGTGAATCTACGAAGCTTCTATGTGTCGTAAAAATGGTGGTTGCTTACAAAGTGAATAAATGAACTACCAAGCGCCATGACGCCGACATTAGCTGCCGTTAGCCGCCTTTAGCTTAGCGGCGGTGATGCGCAGCCATGTGACCGAGATGTAGTTTGCAGTATAGCATTACGTTAGCTTTTTATGCCAATTGCATTTCTCACCTTTAAAAAAAGCACAAATTGGTGTTAATATGTGAATATCATCTTGCTGAACAAAATGTTTAAATATCATGAACGTGTGCTGCCCGGCCCACAAAGCTCATTTCTGCAATATCCTGAAATCCAATATTAAATTCCCATTACTGTTTGTGATGCTTACTCTATGGGTTGGCCTTCAAAAACACGTCAACACCTGCTGGTGGCATTTTTATTTTCTATAAAATGTCTTTACTTTTCGACTGTAAAGCTACATGTTTGCACAACTCACTCCATCTGTGGGAATTCTGTGTTGAACAAGAAAATTAAGAGAAATATTTATAAAAGAAAAATAGGTCAACACTGCACCTCTATAGGCCAGCACCAGGTGCATCCTACTGGAGAGTCTCAAAGAAGTGCACCTTAACCTCTGCATTGATTCCCACCTGTCCCCTCAGCTGGGACACATCATGACATGTTGTCCACACAAAAAGAGACATGTTCCTCTTTTCACTCGAGGAAGGCTTCCTGCAGATACAACCACACGATAGATGGAGGGTTCATGCTGTGGGACCGACAATGACAGGGACACCGAAAGTGGGGAAAGAAGGGTAAACCTTTATATAGAGTCGGGGGTATATTTTTAGGAACATCAAGCAGTACATAACAGCTTCTCTGCAAAGTGTCCCGCTGTCTGTCCTGACAGTTGTAGGAGATGAAAGAGGAGGAAACCTACTTCTCATCAAAGTTCAGTTCTGTTCAGATCTTTAGGTCAGAGAGGCTACTGACGAACATCTGCTTTTCATGAAGCCTCTCAAACTATGTTATTGCTTATCTTACTGCTGGCTCCTTTCTGCAAGACGAACCTTCTGCTGTGTTTGCAGTAACTTCTGTTGCCTCACATCTAGTGAATGCATATTAAAGATAATAAACAACACTTAAGGTGGGTTGCAGCGGCTAGAATACGCTACAAGTTGATCCGTGTTAGTTTGCATAATTCAAAAAGAAATCTGTGCTTTCCTTATGACTATAGCAGGGTTTATCTATGTCACTCAAACGAAAAATAACAATCATGGTTGAATAATGGCACACATCATGGCGTCACTTTTTCTAAACATGAAGCTGCTTTCACAAAAACGTATCCTGTAAAAGAATGTGTTAACACACCTAGGAAATTAGGATTCAGATGAGAAATTCATTTCTAACTTTACATTATAGTTTGCAATACTCAATGTTACTGACATCTAGATATCAGTAACTCACACAGAGTGCAGAACATCAAGACTTCTTACAACATGTGAGTGAACTTCATACTTCAACTTATTTATATAACTTCATAGCTGTTCCTGAAGGCAACTAGGACTTTAATAAGACTGAAGGATCATAGGAGTAGAAGGAGCATACCTGATGAGCTAAGAACAGACAGCTACTGAAAGAAAAAGAGACATATTGAAGATATGCATTGGTAAAGTGCATTGTGTGGTCATTTCAAATGTAAAAGAACGAGACGAAGGTTACCTAAACCTTGAGCCGTTTAAGAAGATGTCACTAGAGATGTCCCGATCCGATCACGTGATCGGGGATCGGAGCCGATCACGTGATTTTCAAAAGATCGGAATCGGGAGGGAAAAAAATCGGGGATCGGGATCTTTTTTTTTTTTTANTGACCTGCAGACACACTGACATAATTATCTATTCACAAGAACATTGTTCTGTTCAAAATCAAAACAACACACACACACACACACACACACACACACACACACACACACACACACACACACACACACACCTTTAATTGTTTGACTTGTGTGCTTCTGTAGTTAGGGACATTATGTTATCCCTGCTCATCCCTTAGCGGCCACTTCTCACTCAACTATTACATCACTCTGGAGGCCATACAGAGGTCACATAGGTGCCGACACATATTATGTGAGTAAATCTTTTCTGGTGAGCTGAATGTGTTTTTTTTTAATTACCCACTTTATGTTCACCGATTGTCCTATTGGGTTAAATACAAAACTGGTTAATTGACTAAAAAAGGACATATAATACAATGGCACACTTGATAACAGATGCAAACTAGGACTACATTTGTGATACTTGAAAAACATTATTTAGGAGAAAATACGTTTGCTAAAACATTATGCCGTCTTGTTGTATTGGAGCGAGAGCAAACATGTTGACCTTTTCCATTTTAAACCATAATCCATATAAGTAAATCAGTAATTATTGTAAAGAGAAACACTGTGCTTCTCCTGCTACTAGAGAACAGATATTTGACCAGTTTAATTACTTTCTTAACTTCCTTTAAGAGCAATTCTAACCTTTTGCTATACAAAGAACACAGATCCTACCAAGCATTTCGTCTGTTCTGTCGTTCAACAAGAAAAAGAAGAGATTGAGATTCTAGGGTTGTCTTCCCATTAATGGCATGTCAATCTGTTCCATTATGAGTAGAAAATATTCTCGTTATGGTGACATATTTCCATTTAATGCATTTATAATATAACAAGTTGTCAGACTTTTCTCCCTTGAGCAGCTCTGCATGTGCTACATACCATTTTAACTTGACCTCTTTTCGTCTCTTTTACAGTCTTATGCTTTCTACTTCAATTTCTCTCAACCAATATTTTATAACTTTTTTCTTACAGCTGTGCCTCAGATGTTTTTTTTACTTATTTGTAAACACATATCTAATTTTTATAATCAAATTCTTAGTTTTCCTCTCCTTCCCTCTCTCACTTTCATTTGTTCCCATCTCGCCCTCCCTCAATGGCACGCTCAGTGGAGGTTGCATTATTGATAGGAGTTTCTATCTGTGGCATCTGCTCCTTCTCTCCCCCCCTCACTCTTTCTCCCCCCCTTTCTCCCTCGTTCAGTGTGTGCCTGGCCTGATGCAGCTTGGCAGGTACTTAGGACAACATCAATCTTTCATACAAACATCACACACAAACACACACACACACACACACACACACACACACACACACAAACACACACACAGAAAACTGTGCATATAGCAGCTTTACCCAAATGTTTGTGCGCAGGAGCAGAGGGTGGTTATGGGAGAGAGGAGTACAAAAATAACTTTTTTCCTCCCCCCCTGCCTTCCGTCTTGCCTCTGTGATTTTACATGCAGGGGAGACTTTGACAAACGCTACACTTCCATGAAATCCTGATCCATTTTCAAAGTGGCACGGTTTTCAGAAATAACCTACCGTAGTGAGCAGATGAAATGGTGATGATAACCCCAACAGAAGAGTAACAAACCACATCTGAACACAGCCATTCATTGCCCCTGGTGCAGGTGCTTTGGAGCGATGTGAAATCGAGCAAAAATAAGAGCAATTGTACCAAATAAAACGACTAGAACGACCTACATTTCATTCGATACAATGTCTCTGTATCACAACTCTTATTTCAGTTTACCAGTCACCCTAATCTTGAAGGATGAACAAGCACACAGCGACAAAGACACTTAGAAGCAAAAAGTACAAAGAGTGTGATGTTGATGGAGGAAAGCAAAGATAACGTTTCTCAGATGTTTCTCTAAAGGTGAGGACACCTGTTTTTTTGCAGTGTTCTGACTGACTTCTCTAAAATGAAAATGAAAAGACATGCCAAGCAACAGAGAGAGAGAGAGAGAGAGAGAGAGAGAGAGAGAGAGAGAATGAGAAAGCACTTGTTCTCTCTCCTCCTCACACTCACAGAGATGCAGGCACACTCACAGATGGAAAGAGTAAATCTTTTTGTTTGAGGCATACAGCGCAACCAACACTATAAAAGAGCATAATCACATAATGTAGCGGCTGTAGACTACTGGAGGGAAACACCACAGCTGTCTCTTTCCTACTGTGTGTGTGTGTGTGTGTGTGTGTGTGTGTGTGTGTGTGTGTGTGTGTGTGTGTGTGTGTGTGTGTGTGTGTGTGTGTTTGTGTGTGGGAGCATGTGAATTATGAAGCAATTTCAGGTGAACCCAGTGGTCTGGCAAGAGAAGGCTGCACTAAGTTTAATTTTCTCTGGGACATTTAGCATTTACCTGGCAGGTCAAATTAAAGGAAAATCATGGCGGCTTGAGATTTATTTGTTTACAATTCATTATCAACTGGACACAAACTGCTTTGGTTAAGGTTAAATGGCTTGTAACAGCATAGCATTTCCTACGGGGGAAAAAAAAGGAAAAGTCAGTGTATTGATTAAAGATTATTTTTTACACCAAGGTTGAAAATCCATAGTGTTAGATAAACTTGTACAACACCATAAATTGTTTTAATCTTTCAAAAATAAATAAAAATAATAACCCTTAATCACAAGGCTCACCTTCCGGATTAACTTCCTCAGGGTCCATATTAGCATTGATATTACTGCACCTGATGCAACTAGCTGACACTTACGGCTTGCTTTTCCACAAGAGAAGAAATACTTGACACTATGATGATCTATGATTAGAGGGTTACGGAAACTAGAGAAGGTAAAGGTGGATCCACTGTAACAAACACAGAAAAGCTGCATTTATTTCAACAGCAATATCCCTTTCCCTTTATGTACTTGACTGTCTTGTCTGTGAATCTCTATTTCTCTCTGTAATAAGCTTTCAGCAAGTTAACTACATTTGACCCCAACTCAACTCTCATGGCATCTCTTTGTGGCTTTGCTGCACTGCAATTACAACTTCATCACACAGAGGGAGGTAAGCAGGGTTAGGGATGGGTTGGTGGTATATTGATGCTGCAGGGAAAGGGGATAAGATCAACTTCATACAGTGCGTTGATGCGATTAGAAGAAACAGGGAGAAGCGGGCTGAAAAGAGAAGAGACCAAAAGCGCAATTAGATAGCAGATGGTTGGCGTTCAGATTCAGGAATGAACGCTGTGAACCATGAGGCTTAATTTATGGCTTTGTTCAATCATGCCACCAACCCATCATACGATTTTACAATGCTGATTTAACATTAGCACCTTGCCGAGAGCATTATAATCAAAAATGCTGGGGTCAGACACAGAGTCACAGAGAGGACAGGAAACATCAACGGAGGAAAAGAGCAGAGATCTTTGTTATTTCCTGCCTTCGTCTCGAGATTGACCATCAATCTCTACATGGACCTGTTTTTTTTCAATCACACTGCGCGTTTACGTCTGTTTGCAAGCCAGACTGACTCTGTTCATGGTCAAAGTCTGTCATTATTTCCTGCCCACCTCCTCTCTGCTTCTATACTCTCTGTCTTTGCTCTCTTTATCACTTGTTACTGCCTCCACTCCTAATTCAGTCAATGTTGCTTCCTTGCTTTCTCTATTTCACCTCGCCTTTCTCAATGTTAGTTCCCTCCTTCACATCAACATTGTTATTTGAATCTGGTGAAAACAGCTAAAAATGTATCTTTCATGACCTCTTTTATCACAGATCGTTAAATATTCTGCCTGTTTTACTACTCCTCTCATCCTTTAGTATCATTCGCTATGTACTTCTCCCTGCGGTCAGCTGTGTGTCCCTGGCATTCATTCAGAAACTCCTCCTGTTACTATGTTCAGTGTCCTCTCTGGCTCTGCGATATAACATCGATATCGGATGTACCAATTATTCTACTGTTGCCTGCTGTGGCAGCATTTCTGCTCCCCTCACTCACTACCACATGCAATGTGTTACATGCTGCTTATGGAAGATCTAGTTGTAAACTCTAAATGGAAGAAAAGCAGGCATTTTTAAAAACTACATCAACCAGCCATTCATTTAACCTGTGTTTCTCAAACTTTTTCATACCAAGGACCACTTAATCAATAAAAAAACACTCGCGGACCACCAAACTCCACAACTATCCAAAAACACATCGTTTTTCTAGAACAGATTACAAATCGCCTGAAAATGGTACAAACAAGTGGAAACATGTGTGATGAAGGTGTTGCCCTGGGCTATATCATGCAATCGAAAGTGAAACGTAAGCTCGCTCCATTGTGGAGATATTCCCGCGAGAGTACGGAAAACTTAAATGTATTTATTTATTTCAAATGTGAAATGTTACCAATATACTCACGGACCACTAGGGGGCGCTCACGGACCACCAGTGGTCCGCGGACCACACTTTGAGAAGCACTGAAGGATATACAGTAACAATGCGATCAGAAACAGTGCCGGACATCTGATTCATGCACATGGTGAATGAAAATAAATTCCATAATTTCACCAAAGGCTGGGAGGGCTTTAAAAACCTCGGATGTGGAGATGGTATAGATTTTTTTCCTTTTGCTCGGGCATGAAGCAAAGGTGAGTCATATTAAAGGATTCTTCTGCAGCGGACTGAATTCTTCAGAGACCAACCATTGTCATGCAATAACTTGCACAATACTGCCTCTGTTATCTGGGCTGTAACAGAATGGCCATAATGTTATACCCTCATTCCTATCATGTGATATCAGAATTACTAATGTATTTTTATATTAATATGCATATCTAATTATCATATTATTTTTCTCCATCTATGCTTCTCTCATGGCTGATGCTCTATGAGTTTCTCACTCTCAGAGGACTAGATAATTCTAGTAATTCTAAATAATCTAGATAATCTATAATTCTATAATTCCTATATCCATGCGATAATATCCTATGGATATAGGGTTTCATAATGGTTGCTACATTTTAGAAAAATAAAAGGTCAAATAAACAAGAATTTAATTCAAAGTTGTATAAAAATAAGGAGTTAAAATAGAAATGGAAAAAATAGAATGTAAATATTTATGTTATGAGAAATCAAAGTAAATTAGGTGTGGATTTCTCTGTTAAAGCATTTTTAATAAACACTATTAAGGTCTGCAAGAACCGGATTTAATATGCCAGCGAAAGAGTCACACTTTGTTCAGCGTGAGATCTCATGTGAAATCAGGAGCAGACCACATCCTCAAGGCTCCTCTTATCTTAACAACCGGTCAGCACGCGTCTTCCCACACAACGTTGGACACGTGTGAAGGCCATTCTGACCCATGGTGAGACCTAACCATGACAAAGTGGAAACCATCTCCTCATAGCTAATCAATTTGTTTCACATCACCTTTGACAGTACTAAACATATAGCCATCTTCTGCAGCTTGTTAGCTACTAATCACATGTTATCTGGTAGAATATTGCCATAAACAGCATGGTTAAACTAATCCCATTGGACCTTTATTTTTATGTTACTAGCATTTCAATTTTGAGCATTTAAATCTAAGTAAGTGCATGTCAGAACATTTCCATTGTTAAACACAGCAGACAGGACATAGGGCCTGGACATACTTGGCAAGGTCATGTTTGAGTCCAGATTGACTAAAGTAGATATTTTTCAGCTGCAGAGAGATTGACAAAACACATTGGAATGGCAGTTAACAACATTCAACTTCCATCATTTGCCTGCAATGCATCTTGACACCTGTCATCTGTAAAGCTGACAGAAGCTTGGAGTTTTAGCATAACGGTGTGTGCTGTCCTAGGTTAGCAGCACCACAAATAGAGAAAATAGTGACTCAGGATACCATATAAAGTTATGGGATGCTAACATTGTACTAATTGTATTAGTTTAGGAGACGTCATGTAGGATGTAAAATGTTTCAGTATGCAAAAAAGCATTGCGTTTCACAATATATGCAAAACCGTGATGTATTCTTGCATGAACATACACCCACACATAATCCCATAAAAACAAACACATGCTATTATCAAGGGAGCAAAGGATAAAAAGGTTTCAATAGTATAGATTATGCAGAAGTTCATCCACATGAGAGGGAGCCAAGATATAAGAACAAATGTACTAAACTCTTATTAGGTATAGGACAATGCCTGTAAAAATAACTATGGCTAGAAAATGTATACACACTGCATGGTATACACTTTATTTAAATGCCTACATGTAGTCCATGCCAAATAAATCAATAAACAGGTGAAGCCTGAAGTTTTCCAATTCTGTTGTTTACAACCTATCTTACCAGAACTTGCTCTGGTCTACCATTATTCACACACAGCTGATAACCGAGGTTAATGATCTAAGTCAAAGAGATTGCCTCTGGAGCCGGCATGCAAAAACATAATGGCAGTGGAAGACCAATCATTTGCCTTTCTCCCTCTTTTCTTGTTATGCTTGTTTTGACAGCATTATGAGTTACATTTTTTAAAGGTCAAACAGTGTTCATCTTTAATACAGTTTCTGATAGTTATCAACATTACAGGGTGTATCAACATGTGTCTGAAATAGTTGGTAGAAACAGATCTACTCCAAGAATCCCAAAACAAATTAGTCTTTATCCTACACAAGCACAAGAGGAGGGTGACTAATCATGCTGATTTTAAGGATCAGTATCACATCTTTTTGGATGTCGAACACTTTGGTACTTAAGATACAAAAGATTTGTGTTTGTTCTCACCAAAATGAAATGTTGTCTGTCAGCTTAATTTAATAAAAAATCAAATATGATATATAGGTTGAATTTGACAGCAGAGGAACAATTACATTTGCATCAGAAAATATTTATTGCAGGGTTCCTAAAAAATAAATACAAATGGGGACGTGAGGGATGATTTATTGAGTCTCTCCGTGGTATCTGAACACATAAAAAGTTTCAGTTTAGAGAACTGAGTATGAAATATTACCTTTGAGTCTATCATTTTATAATTGGTCATATTTTGTCTTTTCCCATCATCAGAAATGATCCACAGCTGAGGCTATTGGGAATTTGATCACTAGTTTTAAAGACATCCTCAATCAACAAAAGTGATGGATCAGTTTTGGATATGACCAGGACGGGAAAACAAATGTAGGGATCGCCGTCTCCTCTGGAGATGTCGAATATGCCGATTTTAATTGTATGTCAATTCATTCAACACTTTTTTAAGCGCTGGAATTGCACCTGACCACAGCCATTGTTTGAGTCACATCACTGCGTAGCTACTGGCTAATAATAAACCATTTAGCATTAAACTTGAACTCATTCCAATTCATTGTTGCCAGCATGGTATTATAATTTGTTTCCAACAACGGCAAGGCTTCATAAGTTTAAAGAAAACATAACTGTCTCCTCTGTTTCAAGATCATAAATGCTTCATCCTCTTTCTGACGTTCACTTAAATACTAAAGGTTATAGTCTGTTCTTAAATTCCTTTAGGGTGTATTGGCCATTTACCTCCCAATAGTTGTAATTATGGTCAAGAATGTAATGGTACAGTTATACGACATTAGGGTTTGTGGTAAACCAAGAACTGCCTTTGGGGCACTTTGTTTTTACCACAAGAAGGTGCGTAAGTAAGCAGGTGCATGTGTGGAAGTGTGATGTCTTGAGACTGCTGCATGCATGCACTCATAAATATGTTTGACAAACTGCAGAAGATCTCTTATATAATGGCAAAGTGCTTCAGTACATTTGCGGAATAAATACGGAATTTATATGCATGCTCTTCTTGTCTCTCTCCACACACACACACACACACACACACACACACACACACACACACACACACACACACACACACACACACACTAGTGTATTTCTTATCATCTCATCGAGTCCCTCCCTCCCCATATGATTACTCAAATTGTACTATTAACAAAACATAATGTTACCTTTGATTATGACAAAGCCCTTCTTTTGAAGTCCAATTCAAAAGCATAATGATCCCATTACTGTATTTACTGGTGGTTGGCAACTGTACGCCCACATGCTCAGTATCTGCATTGTCTCACCCACTCACTAGGTGCTGGTGGGAAGGTAGAGATACAGTTTTGAGTAGATCATGCAATAATGCTGCACAGGCATAAAGCATCTCTGACTGTCACACACACACACATACATTTACACACATACACACACTGCAACACTATCAGGGTCACGATCACAGTCATTTGCAGTTGGAATGTTACCAGGAAAACAAACCTCCAGTTACAACTTCCCATGCATATTAAAATGACAGAGGTGGTACATTTAATAAGCCCCAGTGCAGTAAATAAAAAAAGGTATTTTACATTAATGACAAAAAGGAAATAGTGTGCAAGCAATGCAAGTCTAAGGATGTCTACAAGTGTCCACCTCCACCCCACAGATGACAATTAACTGCGCTATTGACCATGTTCTTGAATGAAGTGCTTCATGGATGGCACCTACACCACCACCTATTACATCTATATGGACCCACACGCCCATTTAAACGCTTATACTAAAGACACAGGCCTGCGTCTGTAAGGGGAGATAACCCTCTTTACCGTCTCACCTGCTCGTTCGCTGCCAGCTCTTTCTCCAGCTGTCGGTGTTTGTTGTGCCACACCAAATAGTGGATAGGAAAACGACTCTTCTCCGGAGTTTTCTTTGAAGAAATCATCCTCTGATCATAGTTTGCCTCCTCCTGTGTCTCCTAGATTTGAGCTATACTTTGTTAATATTTATGCTATTTAATCAAACATATCATCCTTTATCGGCGCTGGTGCCCAACGGCAGCCTTACGCGTCAGAAACAGTGAATGACTACCGGCTTGCTCTGCTAAGAATAAACAGCAAAGCCCCGTGAAAAACATTTATGGAAATAACCCCGTCGTTTAGCTGTCTCTGTAGATTAGGCTACACCTTTATGTCTTAACCACCCGTTCATCCACCTCTTGCCTCCCTCTCTCTTTCTCCCCTGCCTACTCCAACACATCTATTCTCCTCCTCTCCTCCCATCCGGTGGTGACTGAGAAAGCTGCTGACAAGCTGCAATGAAATGTGCGCAAACTCAGCCAATCCGCTGTCAGGGATGTTGGGATAAAACATATGTTTAGTGTTAAAGAAACGCAGAAATTATACACACATTATTGAAAGGTAGATACCGATATACCCCCTACAGTAATCCCAAAATGTTATACTAAAAGGTATAACGAGTAGCTGGACTGCAAATGAAAATGCATCAATTAAAAGTCTAAATCAAACATATATTCCTTGATGCTGCAGGATTCGTTGTATGTATAAAATCTTGTGGGCCTTATAGTTTTTTTCTTTCATTCACATCTACATCTTGTCTTTGATTGTCTAGATGCCATATTGAATGGAATCTGTGTTTTAAATGTTTTGTTTGTGTTTGTACTGTGCTCATACTCTATGGCACAACAAATCAAATACAAATGGTCTACATATTCATACTGAATATATTTTTTGATCTGGTAGCTACCAAATCCACAAATGAGCTTATCCTTTTTTGTGAAATAATACAATCAATACATGTTTTGTTCAAGGGAAATGTCAGTTATAAGGTTTCAAAAGGGATCAGATACTTTCACATTTTGATTATTTGCTTCTTTGTGGAAAAAGGCTAATGCAGATCCAAAATTCAGTAAATAATATTGAACCAATAAGACAATAAATAAATTATTTAAGGAGGCTGTGGCTCAGTGGAATAGTGCGCTGAACTTAGTACGCTGAACTTAGTACGCTGAACTTTGAATCAGGGGATAGCAAGTTCGAGTCCCACTGCAGTCATCATGTCGTTGTGTCCCTGGGCAAAACACTTCACCCCAAATTGCTCCTGTGGGGATTGTCCACAGTATTGAATGTGTGTAAGTTGCTTTAGATATATGCGTCTAACAAGTAACTAATAATAATAAATATATGCCTGATACATACATTAAAACACAACTCAGCTATGGGTTAAAATGTAAACACACACATTTAAATGCATACTCTTTTTTGATCATCTTTGTGTGAAATGCATCTCACCTTAACATAATGACAGGATGATCTTGCCCTCTCTCCTCCCCAGCCCCTTCCATAGGTAGGCTACTGCTGTAGGGTGTGTGTGTGTGTGTGTGTGTGCGGAAACTGACAGGTAGAGAGCTGCCGTCTCCCGGTGAGTTGCAGGCAATGCAACGAAGATATTTAGTAAATATTCCGATATGAGCTTCATACGAACAGCCATATTAAATATGTTTGCATAATTTAGCTCCAGATTGGAGTTCAGAAGCGGACGTGGGCGAAGAGACCGCAGGAACAAACGGGAAATCGAACTGTCAGCTGGCCGGGAAAACTGATCACATCACCCGGCTTCCGGGGATTCAGGGGCCGCATCGGTTGACGGCAGACGTCGGTCGGTAGCTCGGGGGAGTACGGGCGAACATCCACATCATCGCCAGTATCCACCTCTGATTTTCAGCGATTTTCAAGATGTCAAGAAAGCTACAAAGGACAGAAGTCTGCGCCGACTGCAGTGCGCCAGGTAAGAAGGAGGGAAATAAATCAAAACTAGACCACTAACATATGTGGAACAATACGTCGGGAGGGCGATATGATGGGACAACAGGGCCGAAGCTGCTGTCACTGTCAGCGGGTCCGCGGAGCAGGAAAGCGGCTAGGGCTTTCGGGAGTCGCTTAGGCCCAAAATAAACAGTGAAAATAGGCGTGTTATCACAATGGGAACATATTTGGCTAATAGCGGCTTAGCGTTAATTGAGAAGCTAAATATCTATATTGATTTGACCAAGACCATATGCAAAGCTACCAGTTTGTTTGCTGCAGTGGAAGATCTGAGTGTCCGGTTTATGAAGCCTTCCTGCTTGAACAGACGTTTGTTTTGATTTTTGTGACCGGGACAGACTTCTAAAAGCGTTAGCTTAGCCTTGCTAACGAGCAGGCTATTTTCAATCAATGTGCTGCTGACTTCTACAAAGCATTTTGTATACCCCTGGAATAGAACCACACATTATCATTCCTACATTTCAAAACCACTGTGTTATTTTTGGTCCTTGTCTTTGGTGTTTTTTAGAGGGTGTACCTAGCTACAGTTGCTAGCTTAGCTAGCTAGTCTAGCTAACTTTTGCTAAACGGCAAGTTATTGCTAACGCTTCACACACATCTAGTCCTTTTGACGGAATCTGACATTCGTTATTCATAGTTGACGTAGACTGCTGAAAAGCCCTGAAAAGCATACATAATTAAGTGAACGTGTTTAATGTAACGTTATTTTATACTGATTTATTTGGTTGTACAATGTTTAGTCTCCTTTCAGTTTACAACATTTTCACCAACGAAGGGGGAATTTAACGCAACAGGAGGAAACTCCATTGAATTCAACGTGAATTGGAATATTATAATTATTTTCAAACTAATTGAAACTTATTAATATGTTGTGTATATGGCACTGTATAACAGGTTTTCTTTGCCCCCATATTGCGTAGAGATGATGCCAAATCAATATAGGTTTCCCCTCCTTTGCCTCTAGCTGGCAAATGTAGCCTCACATGCCCTCATGCCTAGTTTGAAGCACTTCATTATTTGTGTGTGAGTTGCTGGCATTCAGTCATGTGTACATGCATTACAACAGCTGCCCTCTTCACAGCTGCTCCCCCCTGATAGCAGTGTGTGTGTAAAACTGTCATAAGCTTTAGGGCCTTACTTCTCACTGCTCCAAATCTGGCTACACCAAGCCTCTGTTTTACGACATGAACCTTTTTCCTGCCACTACTATATACTTAACCCCCTGCTGTCTTCCCTCCTACCCCATCAAGTGCATTTCCTGCTTCAAACTGACCAGCACTAACCAACCACAGTTCAACACTTTTTTTTAATGCTATTGCAATATACAAACAGTCTAATGTGTGAGGTCCCTGCCAAATAAATCCCGTAGGCAGAGATTTGTGTGTATGTTGTAGGGTTTGCCTCTTGACATGTATTTCCTTTCAAATGTTTCATAATTGTGGTGAGCTTTTTTCTGTTGGTGTAGGCTACCTGTTTCTAGCTTTACATTTCTTCTACTGCTGCTATTCACATGTAGCCCCTCCTTATGACGACATGCACACACACGCAGTGCGTTCTGCAAAGTGCTGACCTAGCCACGGGTGACAGGACACCTCCCTACAACCCAGCTTTGTGTCATACTAAGGGATAACTAAATGGCATAGCTTCAAAGGATAACTGATCCTCACTGTCCAAGCCAAGCTTCAGGAGGCTTTATGTCACCCCACAATCTGCACGGTTTATAGCAACAATGAATCATGCTGTCATGATAGTAAACTTTGTATTGAGACAGATGGGATTGTATAATACAAAATCTCAGTATTGTGTAAGCACTTTAGAGGCAAGTTATTATGGTGTACGTAGGGGAGAATGTCAAGGTTACATATCCTGTCGTTATCAAAGTGTGTAATCAAGCAATAACTTTTGTGGCAACAAATTAAGATAATATATTATATTGTGCCTATCCTTGGCCGCGAAAAGGGCTGATAGTAGCAGATGTCCACAAAAAATCTCGCTCGCCTCATAGATGCGTCTCTGAAAGATGTTTAATTAAGAGTTATATCATGACTCGCTACACCCGTGAAGAAATATGCAAATTATAACAATACATATTGTTAACTCTGTGTTATGGCTCTAGAATGGACTCGCAGTGGATAAGTGCTCAGCTGAATGCAACGTCTAAGCTCAATAGGTGCTGTCACACTTATTTTTTGTTTTCTGTTGTTGGAACGTTCTGGCGTTTATGCACGTGTCGCTAGTGCCGGTGTTGAAATCGGAGTCTTCCGTGACTGGTCTATCAGTCTTTCGATTTGACGTGCCCTCTGTGAGGTTCTATCATGTCGTTGACTGCTGGAAAACCGCATGTAGTCATATGCCGGGGGACTGT